ACAAAAAATATTCAATGACTAATATTCAAGCTAGTTCTAAGAACATTAACCATGAATGTATATTTAACTACCAAACAATCTATGATGTTTATAGTTGTAATCCTAACTCTATGTATATAACATAGATTAAATACCATTAACACAAATAATTGATTATTATTAAATATATTTACTTGCACACAATAGATAATAACTTTATTGTTTTCTGTTTTGTAAACTACTTATCATTAGGTGAATACCCGCGCATACGTATTTTTGCAAATAAACTATCTATTTTGGCACTTTTGAAAAATGGCACACAAAAAATGACATTTTTGCAATTGTCCCAATTTTATTTAACTATATCAATATAAATTTTTTTATTTTTAATTTTCTTTAGGATAATGAAAATGACTTTTTACATTCCTCTAATAATTGGAAGATATTAGCTTCCTTGTGAAAAAAGAAAAAAAATAAAGTTGGATGAAGATTTATTGAAGAAATTGTTAGTTAAGAATGTTCTTCGTACAAACATTAGGACATATTACCCCTAAAAAAATACATAAATTAAATTGATTAAAAGATTGAAAACCAAAGAAAATTGGTACTTTTAAATCACCGCATTAAAATTTTGCTTGGACTCAAAAATCTTTAGCACTGTTTAGGTTTTCTTTTAAGTCCTGAAAATGCTTTTTCTTGGTAAGAAACATTCAAAGGTCGAGACTAACCAAAAGAAATTGTGATAAGTGATCTAATATCATTTCTTTAATTGACTACATGAACGATAACTCCATTTATTAGCCTTTCTATTGTCTATGTTGGTGAGACTTATATCGGCTTATTTCTCTCCTACAAATTACCAAGTTTTTAGTATATTAAAACATATATATTCTAATTCCTGAATGTTTAGTCATGTCTCCGCATTGTCTTCTAATTTCTGTAGATAAAAGCGTTGTGGAATGCCTTCCTAAACAACTTCCTAAATAAGTAGAAAACCTTCCTAAAAAAAATAGAAAAGATTTTCATTTGTCTAGGAAGGCCTTCCTAAACACATTCCTAAACAAGTAGGAAACATTATTAAAAATAAGTTTATGAAAATAAGTTTATGAAGAATTTTCATTTATTTAGGAAGGCCTTTGATGTGTGTCAAATTGTATTTTTGTACCTAAAATTAGCTAACAACACACTCTAATTGTTGTATCATAGCATAGGGTCGAACCACTAGGAGTTAAGAATAGCAACACTAAGAATCCAAGTATTCGAATAAACTAAGCAATTCGAAGTTGTATTTTGGACTTTAAAAGTTCTAATTACAAAACTAAGTGAACAAAATGAAATTATAATACAAATGGAAGGCAAACCAAACCAAATAAGTAAATAAACACTAAACAAGATCAAAGCAAGATAATTCAAGGATAAGCAAATCAAAATACAAAAGTCAACCGTAAAGTCAACAAAACATAACTTGATCAAATATGAGAAAGCATGGGCTTTGGGCAAAACATTTGACTTAGGATGATCAATGACTAACTAATGATGCTAGACCATAATTCAAACTCAATTCTATGACATGAATCTCATAAAT